CACAGAACTTGCCTTTTAAGCCAGGAATTATCCTTATTGCGCGTCTTTGAACACTCTCTACTAATTTTTTGTCTTATTCGAGTTTCGGTGACCACACGGCGTTTCTAACTCTAGGTTCGGGCACACGACAGCAACAAACTACTTTATCGCTTCTGCATCTAGAAACTCGTGAGAGCGTCTGATCAGTCCAAGAAGTTTGTTGGATTTATAAGCTTGCGTTTTCTGTCAGTGGCCGCTAGTCTTGTCAATTATTACTCTCTCGTTGCAATCATGTCTTATCATACTGTAATCTTACTATTTATTTTCCTTCCCGAGTAGTAGTATTCTACACTTATCAGAATCAAACCGTAGCTGCCACGTATCAGCCCTGTTAACTAAACTGTCAAGATGATCATGAAATTGCACTTTATTTGACGCATCTTTCACTGTATTACAAACTTTTGTGTCATCGGCATACATGGAGTAAAGGCTTAACACACTTCTGGCAGATCGTTTATAGAAGCAACGAACAAATCAGGCCCAAGAACGCTTCCTTGTGACACGCCACTGCGCACTGTTGTCCAGACTGATAAGGTTCCATTTTTACTGACACGTTATCGTCTACCTACTAGAAAATCTCTGATCCATTGGAGTACGTTTCCCTCAATTCCCAAGGACTTCACTTTACGCAACAGCCGCTCATGCGGAACACTGTCAAATGTTTTGGCAAAATAAAGGTAAACTGCATCCACTGTCTCGTCTCCCTTTCGTCCAGCAGGCCAGTCCAATCGTTCAACGCAGACAAGAGGTTAGTGGTGCAGCATCTACTGGCAATAAATCCGTGTTGACAGTCTGATAGGAGATGGTGAACAGTCAAGTGATCGATAATCCTATCCCTCGCAATATATTCTATTGCCTAACAAACAGCTCTTGTCAGACTGACAGGGCGATAGTTACTTGGGCTACTTCTATCACATTTTTTGAACAATGGTGTTACTTGGGCATATTTCCAATTGAACAGCATAGTTCTTTTGTTCATGTTTGTTGAAAGAAGAATACTGTCAGAGGGCCGGTCAGGACGGTTGCTAATTCTTTGAGCAATCCAGGGTGGAAGCAGTCTGGTCCACATGACTTGTTGAGATTTAGAGCGGCCAAGGCGCTTGAGAACCTCTTCTTTGTGTATTTCAAAATCTGTTAACTTTGAGTTCATTGGGCGTTCACCCGGAACTCTGTTCAAGTCCTCATCTGTGGACACACTGCTAAAGAACTGGTTAAGAACGTTAGTTAGCCCTCATCGGAGGATATCTTTCGTAAGTCTACTTTCAAATCAAAAATACTATCGTTTGTCACACATTTTGAACTAGCGCACGAAAAGAAAGTTTTCGGGTTCTTTCTGGCATTTATGGCCATATTTTTTTCAATGTTTTCCACTGAGGTGCAACCTATTCATTAGCTTGATGTCGAGCTCTTGCATACAGGTAATAATCAGTATCGTTGTGAGTTCTTAAATAACGCTTGTAGGCTTCCTTCTTGGTTTTTAGCTGAGCTATAACTGTACTGTTCATCCACTGTGACTTTTTGACTTCTCTGATCGTAATTTTAAGTAAACATGCATCAACTGCAGGCATAAAAGTGCCTTTGAGAAATGACCATGAATCAGCTACATTCATGTCCTTAATACCGTCCGAAATATTCGCCGCATTCAATGCATCACAGAGTTTAAAATAGTCACCATTCACAAAGTTCAAACGATCACACTTTCACAGCGTCTTTTCTACATAGCATTTAATACTGAAAAACAAAGATTGGTGTTGGCTTTTGCCCAACGGAGCCTCGTGCGAAGCTCGTCTAACATTGATTAATCACTAGTGAACACTAGATCTAGAATATTTGGGGACTGTTATGAGTCTCGGTGTGGACTAAAAATGAGTCTCGCACCGACTCCAAGAACATGGATACTGGGTTATTCTAATCTCATGGAGAGGATTCATCAGTCAGTCTATTTCTGGGTAGTTAAAGTCACCAACAATCAACGTATGCGACCTGCTGAAAGTTATGCTCGGTAAAAGGCTGTTTAGTACTTTACCATAATCAGAGGAACTGTTAGGTGATCTATATACACGACCCCTATGAGGATGCTATCCTTGCCTTTTAGAAAAAGTTCGCACCAAACTGATTCTCTTGCTGATTGATGTTCTGCAGATATCTTAACTTGCTGGGCCCCATAAGAGGTTCTAACCCACAGAGCTACACTTTTTCATTTAGGCTATGAAAACAATCAAAACCTGGTAAATGAAAATTCAACAGGTACAATTTTCGCCCCATGATTTTCACTTTTTTTGTTCAAAGCGAGATCCGAGTTCGTGTAAAAATATTTTTAGACTTTCTGTGCACTTTTACCTTGATGTATGCGGTTACTACCTACATTATTCACAGGCCTGGATCTATGGACATGACTTACTGTTTACTTGTCTTTCAGCTCATCTATCTGACCGTCAGCGGCCGGTGTTGTCTTGACATTTTGAGAGTGGTTGGCCTGATTTTCCATGTTTTTCCGCCTGGTTGCTGTTGACAGTAAAATTCGGGGTCCCCCCGGTTTTACCCCGCGCCACTACGCGTATTGATACTTGTATCTTTCAACTTTATACTCACAACCCAGGAAATCGCGGAATGGGGGGTAAAATGTTGCTTTTTCGGTCATAACTCGGCAACGCCTGCTCCGATTTGGTTCAAACTTTTTCTAATCTCCTCCCTAAGTCGTGTGCTGCACGTGTTGTGTACAAGTCGTCAAACAAACGTTCGAACTTCTGACTTCGACTTCGGACTGCCGCCCTCTCTATCGCCCCCCTTTCACCCTCTTCTTATTTACCGCCCCCAAAATCTTTCCATCGCCCCTAGGGGGGCGATATCGCCCACTTTGGAAACCACTGATTTAAGATATCTCACGCAAACGGGCAAAAAGTTCATCCCCAGCAGGCATTTGCTGGTTGAATCGACGTTGAAACAACTACCATTTACGACGTTGAGATTGGGGTGAAAATAGGTTTAGAATGCAAATTGAAGCAGTGTCTTTCCGGAAACGTCGTACTGACGTTACAATGCAACGTTGAATCAATTTTGCTACTACGACGTTGCAGCAACGTATAATTCTCTGGTTGAATAAACGTTGAAGAACCAACTTTTCTCAACGTTGGGAGCGCGTTAAATAAAGGTTTAGAATGAAAATTCGAGCAACAATAATCACGATACGTCGTACTGACGTTACAATGCAACGATGAATCAATGTTTCTACTACGACGTTGCTGCAATGTCATATTCTCTGGTTGAATAAACGTTGAAGCACCAACCTCTTTCGACCGTAGCAAGATTCGAAACCGGCCCTGCAGGACCGCTGCAGACCGCGCGCCGCCTTAGCCAACTTGACCACGGTAGCTCGCGTGCATTGGAAATTGTAAAAAATTGTAATGCATTCTCTGGTCATTAATCGTGCGTCTATATCAATTGATGTTGGCGTGATACCATTAGTTCCATGCTGGTAAATAGTAAAACATTCAACGTACCGATATCGACCATTTTTCAACGTTGAAATTAGGTTGTTTTACGTCTCTTCTGATATATTGGTCGGATTTCGTTGATATGACGTTTAATTGCCAAGATGTACGGGTTGTGCGTGACTAGGTAGTATAGTCCGCCTGCTGGACGAAAGGGAGCCAGTAGATGCAGTGTACCTCGATTTTGCCAAGGCATTTGACAGTGTCCCGCATGAGCGGCTGTTGCGGCAATTGTAGTTTTTGGGAATTGACAGCAATGTACTCAAATGGATCAGAGATTTTCTAGTAGGGAGGCGACAACGTGTCAGTATTAATGGGTCCGTATCAGACTAGGCTTCAGTGCGCGGCGGCGTGCCACAAGGAAGCGTTCTCGGGCCTGTTTTATTCGTTGCGATAAACGATCTGACAGAAGCGGTGTCTAGCGTGTGCTCGATGTATGCTGACGACACAAAAATTTATATTACAGTGAAGAATACGTCGCAAAAAGTACAGTTACAAGGTGATCTTGACAGGCTGGTTGACTGGGGATAAGTGGCAGCTGCGTTCCAACGCTGACAAATGTAAAGTAATCCACCTTGGCAAGAATAATGAACAGCAAGATTACAGTATAAGAAGACACGGTTGCGACGACAGAGGGAAGATATCGAAGTCGACAATGGAAAAAGATTTAGGAGTTAATATCGACAACGAGTTGACATTTTCTGAGCTTATTGAAGGTCAAGTTAATAAAGCCAATAAACGACTTGGTCTAATCAGACGCTCTTTCGAGTTCCTAGATGCAGAAGCGATGAAGCAGTTGTTTGTTGCTGTCGTGCGCCCAAACCTAGAGTTTGGAAACGTCGTGTGGTCACCGAAACTTGAAAAGGACAAAAATTTAATAGAGAGGTGTTCAAGGACCAGCAACAAGGATAATTCTGGGCTTGAAAGGCAAGTCTTATGAGGAAAGATTAAAGATTATGAAGCGTGGGGACGTCCGCGTGGGGAACTCATTGAAGCATACAAATATACTCATGGCTTAGACAAGGTCCCAGAAGGATTAATAGAATTTGAAACAAGAACCAACACCAGGGGCCACGGCTATAAACTGCAAAACTGCGTTGTATCACATCCACGCGACAACATTTCTTCTCGCTTCGAGACACCGACATGTGGAACAGCCTCCTTGATAGCATCGTTGACGCTCCGAGTATAACCGCCTTCAAGAACAGACTAGACGAGGCTATGCAGGAGCATATGTTCAGTCTTGAAATGCCTAGCAAATTACGGACCAGGCAATAAGTCCAGCAGCTATCTCAATCAATCGACAGTTATGAAAAGATCGGGTTCCAAAGGCCGGATCCCTTGTGAATCAAGTCAAGAAAAATTCAAGAATTGGCAACAGGCCATGGGCCTATTTCTTCAGTGCCGACACTTCTATTCTATTCTATTCTATTCTATTGTATTCTATTCTATAATGAGTTATTAGTTATACGGGTTGTACTAGGTGAAAGTAAGTTATTAGTTGTACCGGTTTACGGTGACTAGATGGAATTAAGTTATTAGTTGCACGGTTTGCGGTGACTAGGTACGGGTAGGTTATAAGTTGTACGTGGTTTATCGCGACCAGTTATGTTAAAGTCTCCATTTAAAAGTGTTTTATTGAAACTAGTTAGTGCATACATAATTACAATAAATAGTGTAAGTAGTTTCAATCGTAATTAGTTAAACTTGAAACACCGCCACACACCCCAGGGTCAGGATGAAGTTGAAGTTGGCGGTATTGTTGGCAGGCATAGCCCTAGCGACGGCGGTACCTCTCCACGAGCCTTCACGGGACAACCACGGGTGAGTGGGTCAAAACCTAACTTATAACCTAAATTAATCTCATCTAACCTAGCATCGACTGACCTAATATCAACAAACCTAACCTAATCAAATCAAACCTAGCATCGACTAACCTAATATCAACAATCCTGAACTAATCTGACCTAATCTAATCTAACCTAACCTCAACTAACCATATTTCTACTTACCTAACTTCAAATAACTTAACCTCAATAACTACTCCACCATCAAAAACCTAACCCCAACAAACATAATCACCACCAACCTAACCTCAACTACCCTAACATCAACTAACCTAACCTCAAATAACCTGTCCGATGTCAATCTGGCGTCTCATTATATTCATTATAATTATATTATGTTATTAGATCATATGTAATTGAGACGTAATATTCACTTAACCTGATAGAGATTCATGGAAAAGTATTAGACCTTAGTCAGCGTCTAGACGACATCACGTGATAGATCACGCGATCAAGACCTTGGTTGTGGGCGGAAGCCGAGATCCATTTAAAGGGCTGGGCACCTCAGTAAGATTCCCACAGTAGTTGATATGCGCTCCGCGATTTTGCTCCCTATTGAGTTCTCCGACTTAACGGTCGACGCCGTACCTTATACCTCTGTGTCGTAACTCTTGTATTACCACCCCGTATATCAAGATATGTTATCTAGACTGCTGTGTCTTACTTATGCTTCACAACCTTAGTCACTTATCACGATCCTCAGGTGGCGCTTACTAAATGGGCGCTGACAAACCCAACCTCACCTACCCTAGCATCGACCAACCTAACCTCAACAAACCTAACTTCAACTAAGCTAGCCAAAGCAGCATACCAAACCTAATCTACGACCCATTCCTTTTTCACAGGGACATAAAAGTCATACGTCTACAGTCTGCTCGTGCTATGGATGAGAAATTGTCACTTTTTGTAAAATGTATTACCCATTCATTGTTCACACTGGATATTTGTACTCTGTCTGCTCTCTGCCTGCGCAGTGTGTAAGAAAACTTGTCACAATCTTGTTAGTATATGACCCAAAAAATTTTTGATTTCCCGGTGCAGAGCGTAGGTATTTCGGGTGTGTAAGAAAGCGTGTCACTATGTGGACAATACGCGACTCATTAATTTTCTTGTGATTGTCGCAGGGCGCAGGTACTTAGGGTGAAGGTGACGGACCTCGCGGACCTGACGTACTTTGCGTACCTGCAATCGCGTACCACACTGGACTTCTGGACTGAGCCACGTGCCCTGGGTACGTAACTAGTTAAGTCAACTAGTGGACTAGGTAGAACCGAGCCAAGTGCTCTGTCTGTGTCACTAGTTAAGTGGACTAAGTAGGACCTATCTGTTTGCCGTGGATACGTGATTAGTCAAGCACACTAGGTATTCAGTACGTAGGGAAAGTTGTCTTGCTTTGAGTTGTTGAACTATCTCCTAGCTTAATAAGTATCTCACCTCAGCTAGCCCACCTCCTTCTCTTCTCAGGACCCAACATAGTATCCTCGCTATATAACTTTTCCCCTCAGTTAGCTATATCCCCTTCTGCATATGATACAACTTAGTACCCTAAGGAGATAACATTTTACCCTCGCTCAACAAACCCAACCTCCTTCTCAGATCCCAACTTAGTATCCTCACTAGATGACCTTTTCCCCTCAGTCAATAATCTCACTCTCCTAAGGACCTCACTAATAACCTCACTCTCCTATTTTTCCCCTCAATCAACAACACCGCTCCGGAAACACATTTCTCCTCACAGGCGAAATCGACATCATGGTCCGGCGTTGGGACCTGCCGATGTTGAAGGCTGTGCTTCTGCACCGAAAACTTCAGTACAGTATACACATCGCCGACGTCCACCGCCACCTCGCTGACATGAAGGAGAAGCACCTGCAGGCCCGAACCAGGGCTGGAGACGCCAGGATGTCGTGGGACGCATACTACAATTATGACGAGGTACCTACTTCTAGGTACCAAATTCATAGCTAGGTACCAGAAGGTTCGTAAGTAGTTAGCATGTCGTATTATGTCCACTTACTCTATATTTTGTACTAGGCAACCATATCTTCGTATTGGTTGATTACCTTTACAAATTTTTGAGGGCCTGGCTCTGCATTAGGTGCCGCCCAGCACACGGGGATTACGAATATCAGCTAATGTCCGTTTCGGTTCAGGGTTTGAAGTTCAACCTGTGAGCAGCTTGCAAGCTTGGTGAGACTCGGCCCGGCCAACCATTCTCATACTCACAGACGACTATAAAGTCGGAAATGAGATTCTGACCAGAAACTGATCTCGATCGGGTGACTTAGCATACCCAGTCTATTCAGACTGCAGCGACTATTCAGCCTAGGGTGGAGAGGTCGCTGATTTTAATAGGGTAGTAGGTTATGGCAGCTGGATGTCCTATTACTTTGTTATTATGTACAAGGCACCCGAATCCCCTGCTTATTTAAGAGATGGTTGCTGGATGTCTTATTGAATAGTTAGTATGAACTTGTTGCCCAAATCCTTGATAAGGTTACTAGGTGCTCTGTTATTTACTTATTTTTTGCTGGGCACCCACCGCACTGACCGGCGTCGAGACCAAGAAAAGCGCGTACAAGAAGCGCAACGAGAACTAGTTAACTAAGTAACAAAGGCTACGCGCCCATGCGCTGAAACTGCGGCTACACTGAGAGCCCAGTAAATTACCTATGATTTAATGGGCACCCACACCTTCGTGATGGTTACTGAGTGGCCAGTAATCATTTATTTATGGTGGTAACTCCAGTTCTTCTGCAATACTTGTTATGGTCACTTGATGCTCGCCTATATTCTCGTGATGGTTACTGGGTGCCATTTTACTTCTGTATTTGTAATGGACATCCGCATCCCCTCTCTAGGATACGTAGTGGTTCATACATTAGTAAAAAATCTGCAATGGGCCCATGAAAGGCCCATGCGACAATATGGAAATTAAGTGGCACTATGGTTTCCACGTATATGGCTCACATTGCTTTAATCTTACTCAGTTACTCTGAGTATGCATGACATTGCGATGTGGCTACTACATTGTACCAATAAAGCAGAACCATTAAAGAAATCAGATGTGTTGGATCCATGTGGCGTTCATGTGGCAAATCAAAATGATACTTAAAACCCAAGTGTTGGGCTTTAAGTTGATGTATTAAACAACTTGGCGAACTCAAACACAAAAAGTTATTGGACAACAAATATTTTACTTCGTAAAACTTATTTCAGTTCATAACTCAAAAATTGTTAATAATCTCATATCAAAATACGACATTTGTGTAAAGATTGGCAAATAATACAAGATAATTACATGAATATTAATTTAGAGAATTTATTCCAATTTGAATTACTTAAAATTTCAAGTCATAAGATACGGCGTTACTTTTATATGGTCACACCGTATCCCATGCTCTCGGATTTATAGTTTGCAAACTGTATCATGCACTTGAGTTTGATTAAAATTAATTCTTTGAAGGCGGTGTAAAGTTTGACAGTGGAACCGTCGCGGGCAATCATATTGACTCGCTTTCAGCAGTGTTGTTGAGTTACTCGCGCACGGTTGTCCCTATTGCTCGTGTTTCATTCCCTGTAATGTTCCTGTGTATTTTAATTGAATAAAGTGTAATTCGTGTAATTTTTGCAACCACTCTCGTGTAACTCTTGTAATTTTTTAATCACTCTACTAGTGACTGTGTTACTAGGAGAGTGATTGTATTGAGTTAATGCATGAATGCGACATTGCTGGGGCATAAGATATTGTTGATGGGTCGCGAATTTCATCGTAGTTTGTCTTTGTTTAGATTGAGGGACGCCGTCTAAAATAGCGCGGCGTTCAAGCTCGCGGGTGCCACTTTCTAACGCAGCGCCTCGTTCGAAAGTGAGGGTTGCCTATTTCAGGCGACGATCGATTTCGATTTAAGAAGATATTTGTCATCGTATTGTTCCTATAAAATTGTTATTATCAATTATGAGAGCTGGCTTTTCTTTGCAACGATGTGATCGCAGATAAAAATGTGCTCTAGAAGCGTTCAGTAAATAAAGCCAAACTTGCAAGCCTTGCTATTCAAAACAGGGCGCGTCTGCTTTGGCGTCATGAGTGGCTGAAAAATGCTGTGGAAAGCCCGCCGAGCTATGTCTAAAAATAAACAGACCTGAAGGAGATATATCAACTATGACAGCTCGAAGTAATTAGCATTGCAACGTCACAGTGTTACAATGAATTAAATCATTTTCAGTTGAATCACTCTATATGTTTGGGCGATGTATGAATGACCAAAATTCGTTGAAACATTTTCAATGCTACGAAAAATTTTAGGATCCTCAAAACAATCAGACAGTGTACTAGCATAATATTGTAAGCAAAACATTTCTTGCAGAAAATAATAATTAATATTGTGTATTTAAATAAGTAATGTTAATACTGAATGATGGGCTGTGTGCAAAATGCAAACTTTGATTGAGAAAATTGTCTGAAGAATCTTATCAAGCTCAGGCAATGAAGGGGCATCGTCTTCAGGGGTGATACCACCTCAAATATCTAAATATACATGGTTATTTGAATCATTTCATTGTATATTTTATTATGGTAGTGGGCATTGCAAATATTACCAAACTACTCATGACCTCTCGACTCCCATGACCCCTCTGACCCCTCTGTGACTCGTCGAACAGATCAATGCGTGGCTAGACAGTTTGGCCGCCGATTACCCGTCCATTGCGACCGTGACGGATGTGGGCACGTCGTACGAGGGACGTACCATGAAGCTCCTCAAGCTGTCCACCGGACAAGCTGTCCACGCCATCTTCACGGATGGCGGTAAGTCTATAATGATCCCAAGTATATTAGTATGTGTTTCGGACGTAGCGGTCCCAGGCCACGATGGAGTTTCACCTCTGTATTCTGCCTCCTTCAGCCCTGGCAGGCAAATTGTCCCCGCCGCCGAGGTATTGATTGGCAAGTCTGCAGTTACCGCGCATCTGCCCTAAGTTAGGCCAACTGATGCCCTCAATTGGACCAGCTGATGCCTTCAGTTGGGCCTGATGATGCACTTGCTTGCTTCTCGCCGCCGGTAGTGGTGCAGAAGTGGACTATCAGGGATTGTGCCTAGGAACTTACCAAGTATCTTGAATGTCTTAGGGGTAAACTCCCCCTCATTTTAGCACCTTTGGCAAGAATTTCAGCTCCTTTCAGTAAGAGATCTTTTCCCAAGAGATTTAAATCTGACCGAGGTATCCTTCATAGTCTCGCTCTCTCCACACAAAAAGTAATGACAACTTGAATATTTCTTAGTCCGGCAAGCGTTGCGACCTTCCACCCACACACTCTGCACTATGCTACCTATCGGCATTTAGCCTAGTGGCTTTTATACACCCCAATAAACTCTAATTGGCAACTCATTTGCGCGAATTTGCCATCGTGTCACCTTCCATAGCACCCATGTTTACCAAAATAATTCGCAATTGACATTTCCTCGCCGGATACGACATTCTACTCACCCGCAATCGCCATATTCACGCAGGTATGCACGCCAGAGAGTGGATCGCCCCTGCCACAGTGACGTACTTCATCCAGCAGCTGGTGGCAGGTGATGGTGTCGGTCTGCTGGACGATGTGGATTTCTACTTCATGCCGTCCATCAACCCAGATGGTTATGCATACACCTTCACTGAAGTGAGTCTATAATTCTGTCCATCAAGCTGTCCATAATGCTGTCCATCATGCCTATCATCAATCCTTGTGGGTTTGGCTACATCTCCCCTTAAAAGAATTAGAGGTTATCTCGACTCTGCACCAGGTTCCATCCAGGACTCGGGGAGCACGTAAATCAGCCGCTTATATCCGCTTTGGCTCAAAGTTTGAAGGAAACCCTCGGCTCGGCCAGTCCTTGTCATGCTCTCGGGACACATTTGTCAAACTCTCAGAACGCACTTGTCATACTCTCAGGACACACTTGTCGTTCTAGTATGGATTTACTGATGTGTGTCCATCATGCTTTTCATCACCAAAATGTTGATGCCTACCACTTCCATCCCATTAGTACTACATACCTGAAATTAATAGGCCTAAGCATGCAGCAATTAACATCAATAAAAGCATTAATGGACTCATCATAATGGCCTAACGTTGAATTTAGGTACACTCAAAGAAATGAGTGGGACTTTTTCCAAATATCGATGCATATTTTGCCCTTGTTTTTGTCATGCTGTCCCAGATTTAGTAAGCCAGAAAGAAGGTGTATCGGTGCTACTTCTCTCTGCAAACTAAATAAAATATGTCGTTATTCGGATAGCGTTCAATGATTTTTATGAAATAGCATCAGTGTCCTACATCCGCTTTCTGATCGTGCTGTGGATAAGAAAGTGTGTCACTGCCTGGATGATATCACCCTATAACTTTTCTGAGTGCATTTCTATTTATTGTGCCGTCAACAGGACCGATTGTGGCGCAAGACGCGTTCCCCCAACCCCGGCAGCCCCTGCGTGGGCACCGACCCTAACAGGAACTGGAGCTTCCACTGGATGGGTGAGGGTCACCCACTATCTATATTATTCACAGAAAAATATGGTTTGAATTTAGATTTAGTTTTATTTCAATCTATAGTTAATCTAACCCCCCTCCCCAAAAAAAAAGATAAAATGTTATTTATGTAATTTAAAAAATATATGTTCAAAATATTAAAAAATCCCCCTCCTCCCTCGCCCCTCTGAGTAAAAAGTTTGTTACGTATATTCGTTGCGAAAGATTTTGTCGATCTTTCTTAGTAAAATTGATTTCTGTAGGTAACAATAAACACTATACAAAGGTAAAAATTTTCAAGCATAAAATTGATATGGCACATAAGATATAACAAGTAAAATAAATTTCAAACATAGAATACTATATGAAAACAGTTGTACGTGGTTAGACGGATCTTCAATATTAAAACATTTGGTAATATTTTCCAAATATTTCTTTGTTTATACTCGAGAGCGCCAGACTAGAAAAACAAAAGTATATATAAGAAATGTATTTAGAGAACAAAGAATTAAACATAGGAATACTATATAATAAAAAAAGTGGATGGAAAGAAGCCATTTAATTAATATTGCCTTCTTTATACTCGAGAGCACCAAACTAGGAATACAGAAGTATACAATTTAAGATATATATAGAGAACAAGGAATTTAATATAGGTATAGTGTTATAATATAGTTATTATAATTATATCATAATGCTTAAATTATATAACAATTATTAATATTATATTATAATACTTTGAATTAAACAAGAATTTCATAAAATATTTCTGTACAGAACCCTAAATTCTTACCCCAGGGGAAGTGGCCTCTGACCTCTCCATGTAGAAGTTCAACGCTCCAGCCAAAATATCCTGCAGATCATAATGTTCACGAGTCAACCCAAAACATTTTGTTAAAGATCGCATACTTGCGGTCATGTCAGAGTGGTCACACTGCATTATCACATGTTCAGTTGCCAGTTGCCACTAAAGTAAAGACAAATGTTATTGTTAGTGTTTGACTGTTTTTAGGGTAAAATTAGATATTTGGGGTGACATGTGCACAGGACTTATACCAGTTACTTAGTAATAACCTGAAAAATTCTTCCCCAGAGGGTGGGGCCTCTGACATGCCCTGCTCGGAAATATACGCAGGCCCCGAACCCTTCAGTGAGGTTGAGATGAGGGTTGTGAGGGACCAACTTCTTGTCCTCAGACCCCGCGTGTACCTCACATTCCACTCATACTCACAACTCTGGATGTATCCTTGGGGATACACCACCGACCTCCCCGACAACTGGGAGGACATGGTAAGCCGCACGGGGAATTGATAAGTAATCAGGATTATTAATTAATCAAAAGTCATAATTTACTAAGAATTTAAAAGCAAAGAAAAGTCCACAAAAATTCATATCTTTATAAAAAACGTTTCGGAGACCAGCTCCATCGTCAGTTCGTAGAATCTAGAATAACAAATCAGAAGTCACAAATTAATACATTGAAAACACAGAACAAAATTAAAACCTAAATTTACAAGTAATAGACGGAGCAAAAAAACTATCTATTAACAATTTCAAGGGGATAGGAGCTAGCAGCTGAATTCAAACTTGGCCTAAGTTTAAAGATGTACAGTGATTCTAAAATGCGCAAATCGGAAGTCCTGGAGGTGGAAGCTAACACCCTAAAGTCACTGTCAGAAATAGGGACATCACACTGCTCGGCGTGAGCGGGCTCTTAGCATTAAGAATGTTGCAACTCCTAATCGTCTTGGATTTTTAGGCAACCTGCATAGTTTAGCCTACCGGCGTTTTTATGGCTTCAAGTCCTATAAAGTTTTTTCCTCTGTCTTCCAACCTCGTGACACTTTACTGAAAGGCCTAGCAAAATATAAAGACCTAATCATTTGTAAACCTGATAAGGGCAAGGGTGTTGTTCTGGTGGATCGTAGTCGCTACAACAGTAGCCTAAATGCACTCCTCACCGATTCTTCCAAATTTGTTGAAATTACGGATCAGATCTCTAAAACCATTTTGAAAATCGAAGACAAAATCAATAATTTATTGCGTAAACTTAAAGTTTCATCTGCCCTTTCACCTGAAACTTATACTAAACTTTATACCTCTGGTTCTTGCCCCGGTATTTTATATGGCTTACCTAAAATTCACAAGCCTGATTTTGCCTCTAAGTTTCAATTTCGACCAATTTTTGCCGCGTATAATACTTCTAGTTTTAAACTTGCTAAATTTCTGGTAACAGTTTTAAACTGTCTTACGACTAATCAGTATACTGTTGAAAATTCTTTTACGTTTGTGGATCGCTTGAAGAATTTTACCGACGTTCAGGATTTAACTATGGCCTCATTTGACGTAGAAAATTTGTTTACCAACATACCCCTTCACGAAACAATTGAAATTTGCCTAAATTCACTGTTTCAAGATATTTATGATCTTGTGATTGGTTTAAACCGTAAATTTTTCAAATCTCTTTTGGAATTGTCAGTTCTTAACTCAATTTTCATATTTGCGGGCAAGTTTTATAGACAGATTGACGGTTTAGGCATGGGACTTCCGCTTGGCCCGACCTTTGCAAATATTTTTATGTGCTTTCACGAGGTTTCTTGGCTGGCCAAATGTCCTCTCGATTTTAAGCCAATATTCTATAACAGATACGTCGATGACACTTTTTTAATTTTCAAACATCCTTCTCATGTCCAACTATTCTTTGATTACGTAAACTCACAACATAATTCTATCAAATTTACTATAGAGCTTGAATCTAACAATAGTTTGTCCTTCCTCGATTGCAATATTACCAAATCTAATATTATGCCGTTTTCTGACTTCTGTGTACCGAAAACCGACTTTCACCGGCCTAAGTCCCAGTTTCTTTAGTTTTTGTTCGTTCCGATTCAAGTTAATGGGCTTCAAACATTATTACACAGAGGTTTTCGCATTTGTTCCACATACCAAAATCTTTATTCCAGGGTCTTTGAGCATAAGGGCAGGAGTTGTAGAACCGGACAGTTGCTATCGCGCCCACCTCATTCGGCTGTGCGCGCTCACGCCGAGCAGTGTGATGTCCCTATTTCTGACAGTGACTTTAGGGTGTTAGCTTCCACCTCCGGGACTTCCGATTTGCGCATTTTAGAATCACTGTACATCTTTAAATTTATGCCCAGTTTGAATTCAGCTGCTAGCTCCTATCCCCTTGAAATTGTTAATAGATAGTTTTTTTTGCTCCGTCTATTACTTGTAAATTTAGGTTTTAATTTTGTTCTGTGTTTTCAATGTATTAATTTGTGACTTCTGATTCGTGATTCTAGATTCTACGAACTGACGATGGAGCTGGTCTCCGAAACGTTTTCTATAAAGATATGAATTTTTGTGGACTTTTCTTTGCTTTTAAATTCTTAGTAAATTTGCGATTTAAGCAAACAAGTGATATAAATTCAAGTCATAATTTAAATTAGGCTTCTGAGGCAGCGCCTCAAACCTCCCTTATTTAGCTTAATTAGATAATCGTTATTTCGTAAAATCAAATAAAGATTATATCTTGATAAAGAAAAGGTTGATAAGCAAAAGGTATTTCGGACAATAATTTGCTTAGAAATTAACAATAAGCAAATAAATAATTAAATTAACAATAATCAAAGGGTAATCAAAAGTAAGTTTTTTACTATCGTTGAATATTTCGTTATTTGATGAAGACATGATCTGGAGCCATTTCTCTAATATTTCATAAATAATAATTGACTCTTTTCTTCCTTACTGAAAACAGTACAACATATTAACAAATTATAATGAAGTATCAACATCATTATCTTCTGGATTATTTCTTCCTCATAAAAATTGGTTATAAATAAATCATAACAATGAATTTTTAACATAATCCTTACGATTTTTCTTCACTAGTAAATGTTAAATAAGAAAAAATTCATTAGTTATTAATAAATTTTATCGATGAATTATCAGCATTCGCTTGCCATCGCAGCCGTGGCCGCCCTGACCGCCGTCCACGGCACGCAGTACGAAGTTGGCTCTTCGTCTAACACCAGCTGTTAGTATCATTAATATTAAAGATTAAATTACACATCCTTCTGTTTACTAGTACATAATATAGATTTTTGAATATACTATATATATATCATATTATATTTTATAACCATTCGTAAAGATTAATACGCCATATTTCAGTGCCATCACGCTGCATATAACGGTAAAATTCAATGAATTTTGCAATTAAATTAAATAATTGAAATATGTAATTAAATGAGTAATAAATAATTAAATTAAATAAATAAATAAATACATAAATTAAATGATTAAATTGAGTATTGAAAAATGTTATTCACTTTTGCGCTTGTGTGGGTCAACCTGACCCATTCTAGCCCGGCCAAAAGGGGCGTATCAGTGCTCTACGTCCGCTCTCGCGCGCAGTGCATAAGAAAATGTGTCACCATTTGGACAATATGATCCATTCATTTTCAAATAGAACTATGGACACATTTTTTTGCAGACATCGCCGCCGGAGGTTCGGATGACTGGGCCCTAAGTGTAGGTGGGTCAGAATACGCATACACCATTGAGCTCAGGGACCAGGGGCAATACGGGTTCGAACTCCCGGAGAACTTGATAATTCCTACGGCAGAGGAAACGTGGGAGGGATTCAAGTTGATTGCACAGTTCATCGGCCATTATTAGCCGTGAAATATTATAACAATCGCTCAAGCCAAAATAGATTAACAGGTCAATGAATTTTTGTTGATTATGAAATATATTTTCGATAGAATTTGAGTCTACTTGTAATGGATTGCTTCCAACTTGAATTATAATAGATCTATTGGTTGCTCAATTCTATAGATTAATAACGAATGTGCAGTATATTTCATTACTTGTCCAGTAGATGTTTTCACAAACATTTGGTACTGTTCAGTTCCAACTGATGAACTAACTCATGCGCGAATAAAATTTCAATTTGAATAATTCGTTTCATTTATATGCATTTACAAATAAAATATGTGTGCTGAAAACTAGATCAAATTGAACAAAATTCATCTCATATAAGCTTTTATATGAAATTTGAGACCAAACTGACAGTTTACTAACATCCCTGAACTCCGTAATCTAGACAACACTGTTAAATACAAACGACCATAAAACGTTCCCACCGGCGTTACAGTAGCTAGTTCCTTACAGTAAAATTATACGACGGAAACGTTTTCCCGCACGAAAACGGTACCGTCAAACGGGGTAATAAAGGACGGTAATTAGGATTTTTCGATAATAACTTCTTACCATGAAACATTTCATAAACGAATTTGGGCTCATTTTGAAAAAGTCTTTGCAAGGATTTCTTATGGCATCTCCGGAAAATTCCATATGCTATTCGTAAGGTGCCAGGCGCAAAATAAAAGCTACCTGAATTTCCCTTGGGAACGGGCTAAACCAGGACACTTTAAATAAAACGGAATTTGAAAACGTTTGAAGCATGCAGAGTGTACTCATCTAATACTAACAGTACTCTGAAGTCCTCCTCTTCCTCTGTAGATGATGTAGATGTAAAATGAATGAAAATGACATTTTCAGTGATTTTTACTTGTTTTTCCTTTATTGATATGATATTTTTGATATTGATATAATTGATTGATATTACATTTTTATGTACACTACCGTATAATTGATGTGATACTACCAAATCCATAGACATGCCATTGAGCATTGACAACGACCTTGTCCACTGCAAGCTTCATATCAGCAGCCATATAGCATTTCCTCTGCATATCTGTACATCTGTAAGCTTACAGGACAGCTTGTAAATTCGCACCATTTTAATTGGATCACGTTAATTCACTATGACAAAAAAAGATTGTAAAAAACATACCTGAAACAGAAAGGAATATTTTAGTGACAACCATCTGATTTTTAGAGAAATAAATCATAGTTTAGGTTAATTACTATTTAATTATTTAATTCTTTTCACACAATAATTCGATCTATGACATTCTATGCACAATTTTGTGATGATGACTGATGATGCATTAATTTTTCGTTAAGTGAAATTTTTGTCGCTGAGCGAGGTAAATGTAATCAAAATTCTTTGTTGTTAATTGATTTTTTCGTTAACTGGATTCTTTGCTAACCGAAGTTCTACTGCAAATGCGTTTTTAGGGAAGTCCCTTATTACCCCGGGGGGCCGGGGGGTTGTCCCTTATTACCCCATGGGGGTGTCCAATATTGCCCCGCCGTGCAGAAATGGCTGCCATTTTTTGAATGAGTTGCGGAAATTCAGGCAATCACGTTTTTAATCAAATAACTGTGTGCAACTTTTATGTAAGTAAAATGTTAAAATTTTCTAATAAGGCGAATTTTTTTTAGACCTTTGCAGAGGTACTTTTCCAAAATCTCACCTCTCACTTTTTTCAGGAATTTTTTAGAAGTAGTAAATGTGTGATTTCTCAACTTGCTTTATGCTTCATAGATAGGCAAAATGCCGAACTTCACGTCACTTTTTTTAGTTTTGCAATATTTCAATTAGTTTAGCTGCTACGACATTTCTACGAAATGTCGGAGGACTGTCCCGATTTACCCCGTCCGTCCTATTTTACCCCGTTTGAGGTTACGCCCATTTTTGTACTTTGCGGCTTCCTACTTTTTCATCCAGAAAATAATAATCCGCTTAAATGTCGGACGGCATGTAGAATAATAACGCGAGTAATTGGTTAAAATCTCTATTGAGATTATTCCCGATTTCAACATTAGTGATGAACATTATTCCCGTTCAGCAGTTCAATATCCCCGATAACACTGATTAGACCAACTCAATGCAAGTGAGACGCAATATACTATAAAGCGGTCAAAGGCCTTAACATTGAAACATAAAGCTATATTATATAATGAGAGTCAATGTAATACAAAGCAACTGAAAATCACAAGAGAGCAATGTCGTAGAAAATCTAGTTATATTTGTCCTGTACCGACTCAAGAGTTGCTTAGCGAACCAGCCATTCGACTCGTGGCACGGAGTCACACAATTTATCACAAACATGATAAAGGCCTATCAACAAAAGCGTATCTCCTGCATAGAAAATCATCGATATGACAAGAAGAAAACAAATAGCTTAGAAGTTGACGCTGCCGTTATACGACCAACGTCCATTATGAAATTGGGACAAATAAATGAAACGCAGGTAGTTCTCCCTCTAGAAAATCTTAGCCCCGCATCTGAGGACCGCAGTCAAGTGCAGCGAGCACTAAAATGGACGCACAAGAAAAATTCCGTTATAAGAACGCGTCTATTGGAGAGCGAGAGAGAAGCATTCGATAAGAAAATGATAGAAGGCCTTAAATTATTCAGCTTAGAATTACTCAACCACCCTTTTTCTTAAGTTTACCCTAAATTTCAGATGTCATGTGATACACCGATAGTAATTTGTCTCGTCACACAATCCTAGTGATTTTGTCAGAATTCTGAATGTGGGAGGGGGCGTGCACATACTTTGTTGAATATTATTTTTATTGCAATGATAATCACCAAAATTCTCGATTGCCTCTGCATTAGACGCATGATATCTTGAAATATTAGTTTTAGAGACAAGATAATCTATAACGTTTGAACCAGAGGGCATACGTACCTATTTCAGATATGCTTCAGACGTATCAATGATGACACAGTTCAGAACTTGTAGCATACATTTTCGGTTAAATGACTAGTGGTATAGAATTTGTTACAGTTGTTGTGGCGCTTAGTTACTAACATAAAGAAAAGTCTTCCTATAGATAAAGAATAAGAGCACGAGTTTCGATGAAAATCTTATATCAGATAAAATGAACAAGTATTCACTGTAAGACGGATTATCTGATTGTACTACAGTGAGTATATATTATAGATGATTTGCCGCAATCAAAAGTCCATAAACTTCTTTACCGTTGAACAGGATTTGCATCAGGTTGTTGATGCTAAAGTTTTCAAAATTAAAATTTTTCGCTAATCTCTGGAAGGAGTTTTCTATACTGACATCTCGTGCATATATTTTCAGTTGAAAGTAGTTATGTGAACATAATAGACTTGAACAAGTAGAACGCAGTGCTTGAAATTAGCTGTGAAAAACGGATCTTCGGTCTTCAATCGCAGCTCTCTACTCGTGGTCAGAAACAGCCGTTGTAAACTTTAGCACATTCTGATGCCCTACACTCCGGCGTTTTTGCGACATGGGTTTCGGATTCAAACCGCACAGTGCCTGCAAGAAGTCCTTTTTTGACTCCACAATTACTATAGTGATGAAAACTGATAGGGGAATAATGGCCAATTATTTAACTTTTAAGCCTGAATAGATTGGGTATCAGTGCATTGTAATCATCAGCTTCTATCAACAACTCTCCCGTCATCAGGGAAAAGTGCGGGCATGACGCTGCACTGACGCTTTTATGGACCTATTCATGAGAGGTTCTTTCTGCGCGATAAAACCAAACGCATGATGCGCTTTGAAATATTGTACTAATTTATTTCTGCATAAATTAGAAATCGTCAAATTTACCTTAAAATCTAAATGATCACATTTATACATACCTTAAATAGGGTTAAAAAATGTTCGTCATGCATTTTTATGGGAAGCTGGGGAGCGCAGCCACGCGCCACCAATTTTGTGCACCAATAAGCCCTGAATCGAACGCCTTGGATCTCTCCGGATATCCACCAATCAGCCGTGCACCACTCGGCTTTATCCTCCTCCGGCCTTGACCACCACCTGCCGTGCACCACCAGGCCGTGGATCGAATATGACTTCCGGGCATCGTTAAAATACGTAATTTTACGTTCACTGGATCTGAGGTTAGGTTTCAGATACCGTAGTTCTGTTCCAAAATTTATCGTCCTTCGACGAGTTGTGAGAAATTCCTCATTTCCCACCGTTAATTAGTAATGCTAGGGTTTGTTTATAAGATCTATTATTAACCGAATTATCTTACTTCTAGAATCCGATTCTCTAACTTCAGCCGAAGAATAAGTATTACCAGTAGTCTAAATTAGAGGTTCTGCCGCGGATCTTAACGGTCCTCATCAGCATCTGTTATCGATTGTGTCAAAATTATACGTGCCGCCAGTGACAAAATTTGTGTTAAATCGTATTCAATTCAAGTGTTAAAACCAATCTAGATTCAAAAGATTAACATTTCTGCAGTTATCATTGCCGATTGCCAGTTATATCAGCCATTCAACCGATTGTCAACTTACCTACCTGCATCAACGTTCAAGTATCTGCCATCTTCCTTTAAACCTGTTTCTCTATCCCTTGGTTCGTATGATCGAATGTCATGTGAATTTCGTTTTATTTATTTTTGCTCTATTAAATTCATTTATCAAATCTGTTGGGAAGTTGAACCTAGTTTAAGGATACAATCAAATTTATTTAAATTCAAATTTCATGCTTTCAATTAAAATGCTAATTCTTTCAAATCAAATCGATTCCTTTTTTGATGTTCTTCGTTCTAGAAGTGCGTTATATACTTTACGTGACATGCGAAGATCATTATTCAAACCCTAGTCTTAAGTCTATCTCTCTAATTTCTAAAGCATCAAAACCTCCAACTGTTCTTGCTATTTTTTCACGTCCAACTTCCCACCCCTTAAACTGATTTCCACTATTTTCCTTAAATTATTCTTCCTTCATAAAGTGATTACCACACTGGGCATTTAAACCTCAGGTTTGTTGTGTTTTTTTCTGTTCAAATGAATGAAATTTTGATAATTTATTTTGGCTGTAATTTGCTTACCTAGTCATTTTTCAAGATTGATAATTTTTATTCATTTCTTCTACAGTATACATTAATCCGATCCTGAGACTGGCCGGCTTCACTTTATTTCTACGTCACAAATTCGTCACGTGTACTTACAACCATCCACCTTCAACTTCCCTGAACCGCATTCTGAATTTTGGGATTCGGCTCTTTACCATCAAACTTTGTCTGCATTGCAAGGAAGAAAA